GCAAGTGAGAATTTTAAAAAAGTTCAAAAAGTACGTCGAAAAAATGTTAAAAAATAAATATTTTTACTTTTGACAAATAGTAGAATAAAGTAGGATTAGAAGAATTGAATAGTAGGATAAAGTAGGATGAGAAGGATCAGATAGTAGGATAAAGTAGGAATAGTAGGATTGGATAGTAGGATAAGCTATGATTAGACGAATTGAATAGTAGGATAAAGTAAGATAAGAAGGATCGGATAGTAGGATTAAGTAGGATTAGAAGGATCTGATAGAGTGGGATAGATAAGGTCGTATTGGCTGGAAAGGCTGGATCATACTGAGTTTAACTAATAATGATGAGAATTAGTTTTAAGTTGCCTTCACGCTCATTATTCTTTTAAATTCAAAATTTGACCCAGGGTCAAAGTATCATACTGTGCATTGTCCCCCCCCCCCAGATCATTTTGCCAGCCCCTACCCGCTTGAATATTAGTTGTTCTACTCCCCCCTCACTCCTCAGTTCTTTTGTTTACCGCCCTTCCCCTTTTCCATTTGTTCTTTCATACCCTACCCCCCTCGTGTCATTAATGAACCAAAGTAAATATTGATGAATAAGATTACAAGCCTATCTTTAATTGCACAAACACGTTTTTCAGGGAGACATGATACCAACAAAATATACATCTAACTTGATTTTTAAACAGGTTGTTCCAATAATATGGACAAGAGGATAATTTAAAGGTTCACCGATTAGGGTCAAACAATCCAGGGTCAAACGACATAGGGTCAAACGACATAGGGTAAAACAACCTAGCAAACGGTCAAAAACGCGACATGGGGTAAAACGACAAATAGTCAAAATGGAAAAAAATATTTTATGTATTGTTTCAGGGAATTAGGTTAGGTTCAGACAATGTCTGGGCCATGCGCTACGGCTAGGACAGGATAGGGGGCCAAGATCTGCGGCTAGTATTGCATTTGAATATAAAACATAACATACAAATATGTATTATTTCAGGGTTAGGTTAGATTAAGACATTTTCTGGGCCGAGCACTGCGGCTAGGACAGGCTAGGGGACCGAGCGCTGCGGCTACTACTTCTAATGAACATAAAAATAAACCAAAAATAGTCTAAATAAATTTTTTCTCGTTTGTCGCACCTTTTGACCCTATTTCGTTTTACCCTTTGTCGTTTGACCCTAGGTCTTTTTACCCTTTGTCGGTGAATCTTACGCGAAGACACAATCCTTCATTGACGATAATAATGCTGTCACTCACTACCATGTCTAATGCGATAAAAATTACACTTTTTTATTCAGACTTTACGGGGGAGCAACATCAGAGAGAGCTACAACAGCAGTGCTGAAAATGTTGACGATGCTGTTGGAAGAGCGACTTTTGTTATCAACAACAACAACCGCCGAAGAAATAGCAGCAACAACAATGCAACTTTAAGGAACAAAAACATCTAATATTTCATAATTTTAAAATTGTATTTGACAGGATCTAAAATCTTTTTAAATTAACGTTAATTTTTATATTTAAGCTCTTTTGGAATCCCTACGGCAATCTACTCTCGATTTTAGCCAGAAAAATAAGAATATCTTCGTCATAAAAAAATCTATAGATAGAAGGCGTTAATAATCAAGTCTTCGATCATTTTGAGACTACAGTCTACAGTTACTGAAATTTTATATAAAAAACTTCAGAAATATTTGAAAAACTGACAAAACTAAGAAACGTTTGTTATATTTTGAAGAAATACAAAAACAAACAATTCCTTATACCCCTGACCTAACCATCCACAAGATTAGAATGAGAAATACCCCCGTAAATTCTAGGTCCTTTGTGAAACTTGCATTAATGGGACTGTTCGTGTAAATTCAATTGACCCATGCAAAGAGGGCAATGCCCGATTTTCAATTGTACCCTTGAAAAAATTAGTCATTCCAAGTTTTTGTTTATATAAACTGTTTATTTTCATTTGTGGGTTCTTTTCAAAAGTAACTTGAGTATTATTTGCTTAAAGGAAGCATTGGAGAAATTCACATAATTAAGCACTTTTCGAGTTAGAAAAACGTCTTTTTGATCTGATAAAGGTTGCAAGGATAGAGTTGTAAATCGGACATTACTATCTTTTGCGTGGAGGGTAACTTTAAATTAGGCTCACAGTCCTTTTAAGATTTCAAGAACTTCATGCTGCTATTTTACGGGAAAAATACCATAAAACCAGGCACATTAAAATATCTCTAGACCGCGCCGTGTCTAGACACAGTTGAACATCTAATTCAAAGAAAGTACATATATATCTGCTATATTTTAAATTAGATTTCTCCATTTTTGTAAATTGTAAAATACATTTTTTCAATTTAACTATATCCTATGAGCAATCCCAGAAAGGATAAAACCGCCTCAGTTAAGTTTAAATACCGTGCAGTGTATAGATGTGAAGTTTTACACTGTACAGTTAGAATAGGGATGCGAACTACACTGTACGTTGTATAGGTTAAGATGTACAGTGTAGAGGTTAAGCTGTACACTGCACAATGTACAGCTAACATGTAAAGATGGATGTTAACTACACTGTAAAGTGTATTGGTTAAGCTGTACAGTGTAGAGGTTAAGCTGTACACTGCACAATGTACAGCTAACATGTAAAGATGGATGATAACTACACTGTAAAGTGTATTGGTTAAGCGGAATACTGCACAATATGCAGCTAACATATAAAGATGGATGCAAACTATACTGTACAGTGTATAGGTTAAGTTATACAGTGTAGATAATAAGCTGTACACTGCACAATGTACAGTTAAGATATAAAGATGGATGCGAACTATACTGTACAGCGTTTAGGTTAAGCTATACAGTGTATATGTTAAGCTTTACACTGCACTTTAAAGTATAGGTTAAGATGTACAGTGTAGAGGTTAAGCTGTACACTGCACAATGTACAGCTAACATGTAAAGATGGATGTTAACTACACTGTACAGTGTAGATGTTAAGCGGTATACTGCACAATGTATAGTTAAAATATAATGATGGATGTTAATTACACTGTCAGTGTAAAGGATGTGCTTTACAGTGTAGAGGTTAAGCTGTACACTGCACAATGTTCGTTAAAATATGAAAATGGATCTTAACTACACTGTACGGTTATAGGTTAAGCTGTACAGTGTAGATTTTAAACTCTACGTACTGCACAATGTCCAGTTGAAATATAAAGTTTGATGCGACCTACAGTGTACGGTGTATAGGTTAAGCTGTACAGCGTAGATGTTAAGCTGTACACTGCACAATGTACAGTTAACTTATAGTGGTATGCGATTATATCAATATAATGAAGACTGTTAACAAGCTTTTTTAGAATTACAATTTTACAAGTAATTAAAGAGAAGCTTTTTAAATAGACAGTTTCTCGTTGTTCCCAAGGTTTTGTGTATCCATGATGTTTAAAAGCTTGATAAAAATCAAAATTGAAATCGAAAGTCGTCTTCATTATTTTGATATAATCATCTAGCACCGTATAAAGATGGATGTGAACTAAATCTTCTAGAAGTCCAACCTTGATGTTTCTTGTCGTGAAGGAATGATGCAGCAGATATTACAAGCTTTAGGAAATATATTTATTATTATTGTTTCGCTACGATAGTAAGGTTCCAAACGTTTATTTCTCTGAGCCTTCAATCTAAACAAGTTTAATAAACCCACAGAAAAAGCTTTGAGTGAAAATCATACAAATTTGAAGATACTTAAAACTATTTGGTGGGCAGGGGGACAAGGTTAGAGGTTTTATGAAATGGAATTTTAAAGGAGATTTATGAATTGAACTAGAAAGATTTTTGAGTTGGAAAATTAGAAGTATGTAAATAATTTTACATTGGGGTTACACAGAGCTGAAACTGATTAGTTAGACAGGAGCAAGGTCAGGAATATATATATTTATTAAGTAGTAATCTCTGTTTGTTTGTTTGTATGTATGTACCTCAGAATGATAAACCCCTGGCCAGATTGGCCTAAAATTTGATTGGGAAACTCGGTATAGAACCATGGGAAAGGTCATTTAGTGTGGTTTAAGAAAAACGTTCAGAAGTTTGACTTTATAATGGAAAACTTACTTTCCGGCAAAGCTGGGATTCCAAGCTAGTTTAAATATAAAGTAGTAATCTATATTTCTCTGATAGATCATTAAAATCATGAACCCCAATTTTGGTCGGGGAACTCGATAGAACCACGGAAATGTTCTTAGCTTGGTTAAACGGTTCTAAGTTGAGTGGTTTAACTTTTATACAGAAAACCCTAGGCAAAGCCGGGTTCCAAAGCTAGTTATAAAATATATAAAGAAGTAATTTCTGCTTGTTTTGTTTGTTAGGGTGTTTGTTAGTTTTGAGTATAGAATAATTTGTTAGAAATCCCGTTAAAGTTAAAATTTGAATTTAAATATGGCACCAGTTTTTGCTGAGATATCGTGACAATATTTGCGTAAAATATCAAACTTTTTATCAAGGATTTTATGAACAATTCTCGGCTTCTGGACTCAAGAAGATTTCCGTTAAATATATTAAATACTAGTTGTAATAAAGAGTTATCCCACTTTTATAATACTAGGCTTTTAGGGCGCTTTGCGCCCATCTTCTTTTTAAATTGTGAACATGTTCTTTTTGTTTACATTTTAAAACAAAGAAAATTTTTTTTTTGCGGATTTTAAGGAAAATTCGCGGATTTTCAAGAATTTAAATTTTCTTACAAAATTAAAAACCTTTAAAACACATTTTTTTATCATTCATAAACCTTCCCTGTGGTCACGTGATGTCCCACAAAAAATTTGGGCCCGATTGGTTCAGCCGTTTTGACCTTTATTGGACACAAACAGACAGACAAACAAACAGACAGACAAGCCAAATTTATATATAGATGTAAGATTTTACCTATTTTGTTAATGTAAGAACAATTTTTAAAGTAACCTGAAGATTGGATGAAAATAAAATATGTTTAAAGTAGAAGAAATGAAGAAGAAGAAAATGAGAAAAATCTTCAAAACTACTTTCAGGTAGAATTATAAATGATTGCTTCTCATAGTTTAGCTTTATCTTTAGTCTTTTATCTATTCCACTTTTATCCTGTTTCCACAATAGTTTATTAATTGATAGATTGTTCATATCTCTCTCCGTGGTCACTTCTCTCTCTATGGTCACTTCTCTCTCCTTGGTCACTTCCCTCTCCCTGGTCACATATCTCTCCTTGATTACTTCTCTTTCCGTGATCACTTCTCTCTCTGTGGTCACTTCTCTCTCCGTGGCCACTTCTCACTCCCTGTTCTCTTTTCTCACCGTGGTCCCTTCTCTCTCGCTGGTCAGTTTTCTCTCTCTGGACACTTCACTCTCCGCAGTCACTTCACTCTCCCTGGTCACTTTTCTCTCCGTGGTCGTATCTCTCCCTTGGTCACTGCTCTCTTTTTGGTCACTTCTCTCTCCTTGGCCACTTTTCTCTCCTTGGTCACTTTTCTCTCCTTGGTCACTTCTCTCTCATTGGTCACTTCTCTCTCCTTAGTCACTTTGTTTTTAACTCCTGCATTAGTTTCTAGATTAAATTTTCATGGAACTGTAATTTTTTTCGACACGTAGATTACAATTTGAATGTTGATCGCCTTGAACAATTTGTAAGTTGTTCCCATATTACTTCTATTAATGCATTGTGCATGGTGCACTGTAAATTTTGCAAAGCAAGTAAAAAATATCAAATCGTAGAGAGGGGCGGGGGGAGGGACTACCGCTGTTTTTGTGGGTTCACTATGCCCTAAGAAATTGAGATTACTTTATTACTTATTCACAAGGATAAGACAATATCAAACCTTGATCCTTAATCAAGGAAATTGTAGATTTAGTCAAATTTACATGAATTTAAACAGAACAAAAAAAGTAAAAAAATATAATTAAAAAACAGGGGAGGAATATCAAAGGAAGTGAGATAAAATGGAGAGCTGGGTGGGGCTGATACGCGAAGCAGAAGGGGGGGGGTTAAAAATGGGAAAGAGTATAAAGTAAGACCATGACACGCGGACATATAAGACCAGAAACAACATCGCTAATTTTTGCAATAAACTGCAGTTTTAAGAAACAAATTTGTCCAGTCATTTCATCCAACTGATCTTTGTGTTGAAATCATTGATCCGTATCATTCTTATATAATTTTCATTTACAAGAAGGATAAATTTACTGTTACAAGACATGCTTCAAGGACTGTTTTTAAAGGTTATCTTTAAGTTTAGGGATAACAATTATATAATAAAAGGTATTGTTGTAGACGTAATATTCACAACGGTACCCAATATAACTTTTTTCTAATAACTTGGAGGGATCGTTGTTTATCTTGCAAAAAGTATTTAATGGTTTCTGCAGTATATATCAACATAACACAAGTCACTTTTATAGAGAAACACTTGACAACAATTGNGGGTAGTTAAAGTTTGAGTTGTTTTTAAAGGAAATACTGTTTAATCATACAATTCTGCAGTTAAAATTATTTTATATAACTTTGAATCAATCTTTTATGAAAGTTTTTTAAAATTTGTTTTGAAAATTTTTCATAATTTTTAACTAAAGAAAAAAAAAGATTTTAGTAATTATTGAAGAGTATTGCTGTGAATCAGAGAGTCACTTAATATTACGTAAACAGTCCCTTTAAGATCGATAAAATATCTGAACCTTTAATTCCACTTCTTTTTTTACAGGAGCCAACAAGGAACTTGAATTGGAGAAGAAAAAGAAAATTATCAAGTAAGCTGCATTCTAGAAAAAAGAATTGAGTCTTTTCCACAACCTCTGATTTTTATTTTCATTTTTGAAACCCAATGTTGCAGGACTTTGCGAAGATATAGGGATTAGAATATTTGAGTTTGTGGCAAAAACTCAATTTCTTATCCAAACACGGATTATCCGAACGGGCCCAAACGCCAGGGTATGTTTAAGGCCATTCGAAATTAAAATTTAAAAGTCATATTTAAAGAACAAAATGTGAAATACACAAACCGATTTTTGTTATTCGTTGATTAACGAGGGGAAAGAAATAAACAAAAAAGGGCTGCAAAGCATTTTTTTTAGCCTTGTATTTATATATTTTTATAATTCTTTTATTTAGAATCATTAGCACAGACCAGAACACGAGGTAGATTCATGAAAGTAAAAAGATTGGTTTCAAACCAAGAAAATATAAAAAATGGAACAGAAATTAAAGAGACAGAAAATGGAGGGATTGAAAATGATAAAATAGAGTTTGTGAATAATCAAAATACAGGTGATATAGTAATAAACAATACTAAAATGGAGTTTGAGAATGAGCTGAATAATCAAAATGGAGGTGATAGAGTGATAAATAATACTAAAATGGAGTTTAAGAATGGACTGAATAATCAAAATGGAAGTGAAAAGGAAATGCAAGAGCGAAAGGGGAAAAAGGGAAACCTAGATGAAGATCTCTCCAATGGATTAGATAACTTGGATTATGAGGTAGTTGTTGATAATTTAAATTTAAAATATAAAATATAGAAATTTTAACAACTTTAGTTAGAAGACATCATAGTTTGAAATATCAAACGTCTACGACATCAGCTTGCAAAGATGCAAGGATTAGAGTAGGAGGAAAGTAATCAGTAAGTTCTGTGTACTTTTTAATATTTCAGAATGTTTACGATATCTTGAACGATTATATCGAAGACCTTCAAAATTTGGATACACCTCCTGGTATAGTGGATACATCACCTAGTATATTGGATATAACACCTGATATAGTGGAAACAAACCCTGGTTTAGTGGATACAAATCTAGGTTTAGTGGTTACAAACCCTGGTTTAGTGGAAACAAACCCTGATTTAGTGGAAACAAACCCTGGTCTAGTGGATACAAACCCTGATTTAGAGGATACAAACCCTGGTTTAGTGGATACAAACCCTGATATATTGGATAAAAACCGTGGTCTAGTGGATACAAACCATGGTTTAGTGGATACAAACCCTGGTTTAGTGGGTACAAATCCTGGTTTAGTGGATACATCCCCTGGTATAGTGGATACAACCCCGGGTTTATGGGATACACCCCCTGGTTTAGTGGATACAAATCCTGGTTTAGTTGATACAAACCCTGGAATAGTGGATACAACCAAAACCTTAGTGGATACAATGGATATCAACCCTATAGTTAGAAATACCAAAACTTGTGACAAATCTTTAAATGAATGTTCTGCACAAACGATTATATCTCTGGAGGTTAAAGACATTACACTGAGAGAGCAGGACAAAGATACTGATCAAAATGCTATTAAGTATAAGGGTTCAAGGGAGGAGAAAAGAATAAAGGATAACTGTTCCACCGTGAATAATCCAGGCGGCTGCAAGAAAACGGAAATAAATAAAAATAAAATAGATAAATATGCCATTTTTGATTCCTTCACTGCTCCACTTCAGGTTTTCCAGTTTACTCAGATCTCAAATCGAGAAACTGCATCTTCAGCTGTTACACAATCTGATCAGTCTGTGACAACATCAAATAAATCTACAATGTTTTTGAACACCTCTTTGTCATTAAGTATTATATCGTTAAATGATACTTCCGAAAATGAGAACCAATCAAAAGCATTCAAAGAGATAGCCAATGAAACTACTGAATCGCCAATTGAAAGAGTTCTGAACGACAAAACTAAAACTGCAGCAGATGAAGTAATTAGTTTGATAAATACAGAATCTTCTGCAGAATGTTCACAAACAGAACACTCAGCTGATTCAAACACGCAGACATCATTATCAGAAAAAAATGAATTTACATCAACCAAAAATGAAAAATTATCCAAATCCAAAAGTGAAGTGCCAAAATCTGAATGCTTACCCAGATTAGAAAAGGCTTTAACAGAAGATGTATCAATAGAAGAAGAATCAGCAGAAGAAGAAAAAGCAGAAGAAAAATCAGCAAAAGAAAAAGCAACAGAAGACTCATCTCAGGAAGGATCATCAAAAGCAGAATCAAAAAAAGGATCATCAGAAGAAGAATCATCAGAAGAAGGATCTACAGAAGAAGGATCTTCAGAAGATGAATCAGCAGATGAAGGATCTGCAGAAGATGAATCAGCAGAAGAAGGATCTGCAGAAGAAGGATCATCAGAAGAAGAATCATCAAAAGCAGAATCAAAAGAAGGATCATCAGAAGAAGGATCTACAGAAGAAGGATCTGCAGAAGATGAATCATCAGAAGAAGGATCTACAGAAGATGGATCATCAGCAGAAAAAGAAAGGACTACAGCAGATTCGGACAAAACAACTGCAGGAGAGAAAGAAACAACTGTTAAAAATGCTGACTTAACAGACGAAGAGTTGACAGATCGACTGTTACAGGAGCTGGGAATTGAAAACAGCAATGTAACAGCTGCTGAACGGAATATTCTACTACAGCTGCTACAAATGGAAGAGCTTAGGAATTCAAAAATAAAAAATAAATTAAAGAAATGGATTCAATGAATATATTATGTCTATTTGAGAGAAAAAAAACACTTTACAAACATATTTTATTATTTTTCTTTTTGCAATCAGGGAAGAAGAAAGAGACATCAATCGGAGTATATCAAATCAGTTTGAGATTTTAAGTCAGCTGTCAGCTGTTCTGGAAAGTTCTCCTGATCTGTCTCAAGAGGAGTTGGAAGAGCTGTTGTCAAACACTCCGGGAATTAATGTTCTTGGTAACTCAATGGACAGGTAATACAGGGTGTCCCAATAAACATGGGATTTGAGTGACGAAGACAAAATTGTCTTTATTATAGAATTGATGTATTACCTAATTTCAACAAAGTTACGTCTGCTAGAGTATGTTTTATGTAAGGGTAAAGGACTGCTTTATTTTACTTTAAAAAGCTTGTTTACTGTTGGAAACCCTTCAAAATAAAAAATGAGATTTCAATTTGCTTATTTTATTTTTTAGTGCTAAAAACATGACGAATCAGAATACTATCAGGTAAAAGAAGGATTCTAAATTGTAAAATATTCTTATAATTTTATCAAAAATTATACTAATACCTATATATAGCTGAGATGATATTTTTGCAGTGGTGGATTGTTTAAAGGACTTGAAGCTGGGATAATGGAGATTATTAGGTAAACAACTAG